AAGGGTCCCCGGTGAGTAGTTCCTGAGGCAAGACTGTGACCACCCTGCTACAGATTAATTCTTTCCTTCTAGAAAGTTGGGCTTCGGTACACTTAATGAGGGAGAAATAGGATGTGATTTTTTTTTTTTTTCCTGCAGAATCACTCCAGTGTGATCTGCAGAGTGATTAGCGTAGCTCAGCCTCAGTTGGGATATTATGGCTTAAATTATTCCTATTAGTTTCCAGCTGACCTTGGAACACAAACATTACATCTGATTTCAATGAAATTTTAGACTTTGTTGTTCTCAGTCAACTAATGAAACAGTTGAACCTTCCCATGACTTGTGGTAATTAGAATAAAGGGTAAGTATTATTACGAATAATGCAAACCGATTTACAAGATGGCAAAGTGATATTCTGGAAGTTGTAGACGAAGACACTAAAAATGTGAACTGAACGCAGGCTAAAAATGCAGTGCCATGCAGAAGGTTGATGCGTTCCTGCCAAAATACAACCCCACCTGGCAGCATTACTTTTGTACAGTGAGTTTTGGCCCAGCTGACTGGTTACAAGAAACATTATGTTAACAGGAAAAGCCACTTTAAAAGTCTGTTTGATGCTTAAGGCTCTCCAGTACACTCTAAACGTTTAAACCGATACTCCAAACTGATTAAAGCATTTATGGAAAATAAAAGTGTTTTGCCACCGGGGGAAAAGATGAGGGATCTTGGTTGTTGTTGCTTGTTTGGTTGGTTTTACTGAGGTGTAGAACAGAAACCCCAAATTTGACAGATTTCCCAGTTCTAATTTACTTTTAAAAGTTTAAAAGTTTATGCCATCCCAAACAATTTACCCAAACTCAATGGATTTTCAAATCAAATATAATGACCCTCCTGCGCTAGGAGAGGGATGGTGTCCTCTTCCTGGTTATATTCTTAGTGTTGACTATAGTGCTTGGCACACAGCAGATGCTAAATAAAGGAATAATGAAAAGTAATCACCTAAAATGTGGGGACTCAGCCTCATCACTCACTTAGGAGCGCGCCGGCGTCATGTAAGTAGACTTTCCACAGACGTTTCAGACGTGCTGTTTCTGATGAGTGTCACGTTTCAACTTCCTGCCCCCTACACCCCATATGCCCAGTGAAGTCCTCTTCACCCTTCAAATCCCTTTCTCTGAAGAATCCCAGACCGGTGATGCCCAAGACTTGAAGCCAGCCAGTCTGGGTTTGATTTCTGGCTCTGCCACTCACAAAAGACCTTGAAAGTGACTTGACTATTTTTTGCCTCAGTTTCTCCATATGTAAAGTGGGGTTTTGTGAGGATTAATGTGCGTCATATCATGATTATTCAGCAAATGTCAGCTCTTAGTGCCTTGGGTTACTTGCCACACTGTATTGCAATTATCTGTTTACTTATATTGCCTTCACTCGATTACAGCTCATCCAGTGTAGGATTTCTGTCTTTCTATCTTTGTGCTCACCAAGTTTACAAAGCACAGGCTCTAAACTTGGTAAGTAAGCAATAAATGTTTGCAGATTTGAATAAACTAAACTCAACCCATTCCCTGGAAGGGCGGTGAGGCCAAATTCTCTCTTATTCTTTAGGGAAATCCTTTCAGATGGAGAAGATCATTTGGATTAGAAACCTGTAAATTCCACTTCCTGTGACTCACCTTGCTGGGAATGAAGTAGAGACACCTAATCGTCACCAAGAATCTTGAATAACAACAACATTTCACTTTGGCCAAGTTTCCCTTCAGGGACATACAAATTAACTTCTGTGATTTTGCCTTTAAGAAATGTGTTCCTTTCCTTGTTATTATTTTGAGCAAATTCACATCATTCTTACTGCATTTCAATTTCTGAATGAAAGTCACCTCCTTCCCAGCTTGCACAGCTAGGGTTGGGGGAGAGGAGAGGTTTCGGGTATACCACTTTCTTCCAAAACTATCATTGATTAGAAGAATCTGTTTTTTCCCCAACTTTTAACCACATTAAAAATTTTTGTACAAAGCTTTTCCCCAGTTTCTGTTCAGAGTGATGTCATTCCCCAAGATCCTAAGTATTCAAAGGAATATCATAATAAAAAAATGCACTTTCAGGCCACAAAATACAGCACAAAACTGAAGCTATTTTGTTGTTTCCAGAAAAATAATTGCTTATATACTGAACACTTGGTGTTAAGCTCTAGTATTAGGTTAAAAAATGCAGATGTATTTATAGAAAAATATCAAAGAAATACAAATAAAGCTGTTACTTGCACAGGACAAAAATTGTGACAGTGTTTAAGTAAATGACTAAGGGTTCAACAAACCCTGGGTTGGAGAATGTTCCTGACATTTCTCAACTCTTCTGTGAGAAACAGAGGCATGTCACACCCTGGAGCAAGGATTTCCACACCAGTCTCTCCTTTGTGCTCCTTCCAGCATCATCCTAGGGAAACACAGTGGTCACACCACAAATTGTCCATCACCATGGCTGTCTTCATACAATAAGAAATCGAGAGATGGGTCCCTAGCACAGGATTAGATTAGCCTTTCTCTCTCTGCTGCAGCAGGGGACCTTCAGTCTCTTAACAGCCTCATGCAATAGTGTCTTCTCTCGGCTGAGAGGATCCAAGGTCCTAGTTGATGGTGGGTTGCTGTTGTTGTTGTTGTTTTTCCTATTATGGAAATGAACCACTGAGTTGCCCTCATTAAAAGCAGTTTGTCATTTAACCATCAGGGAATTACAGACGAAAGGTGTCTCTTAGGTCCTTGGATCCAGTGCCTGGTAACGCGGAATCCTCCCACTTCCTGCACTGTTGTTTCCAGCTCTCTGTCCCCTCCAGTTTCCGTATCCTGAGGACTTCCCTCTAAAGCACTGCTATACCAATGGACGGCATCACTTGTAAAAAAGGTGCTCTTGACCATCTAAATAATCATTCTCATAGGTAGTTACGAATCTTGATGCCCTGTGGTGAAATACGCCTTTTGCGGCTCCCCACGCTTACTCAGCACAAACAATCATGAGTGAGTACTTCATTCACACCAGCCCCTGAGGCCAGGCTAGGGGATAGGACACTGAGGAGGACCCAGCTCCTGAGTGGCTAGGCCTCTACACAATGAGCTTTTTTTTAATTATTATTTTTTAAATTTTATTTATTTTTGGCTGCGTTGGGTCTTTGTTGCTGCGCGGGCTTTCTCTAGTTGCAGCGAGCAGGGGCTACTCTTCATTGTGGTGCGCGGGCTTCTCATTGTCGTGGCTTCTCTTTTTTTTTTTGCGGTACGCGGGCCTCTCACTGCTGTGGCCTCTCCCATTGCGGAGCACAGGCTCCGGAAGCGCAGGCTCAGCGGCCATGGCTCACGGGCCCAGCCGCTCAGCGGCATGTGGGATCCTCCTGGACCAGGGCACGAACCCGTGTCCCCTGCATCGGCAGGCGGACTCTCAACCACTGTGCCACCAGGGAAGCCCTGTCGTGGCTTCTCTTGTTGCAGAGCACGGGTTCTAGGCATGCAGGCTTCAGTAGCTGTGGCACGTGGGCTCAGTAGTTGTGGCTCGTGGGCTCTAGAGCACAGGCTCAGCAGTTGTGGCACACGGGCTTAGTTGCTCCGAGGTATGTGGGATCTTCCCGGACCAGGGATCGAACCCGTGTCCCCTGTGTTGGCAGGCGGATTCTTAACCACTGTGCCACCAGGGAAGCCCCAATGAGCTATTTTTACGTTGTCTTCTCTTGCCAACTTCCTACTGTTCTTGAATTCTTCTCAGGTCCAGCCCTAGACCTCGTTGGGAAATAGGGGCCAACTGTGTGCTGGGAATCTGTTTCCTCTCCCAGCTCCTCCTCGGGCATCCAGTGCCCCACACAAGCTCCCTGCAGACCACCACACAGGGTAGTCTCCAGCCTACCCCCAGCCCTGCCCTTGAGTGACTGAGAGCAATTATTTCCAGGTGACAATACATTTAATTTGCATTTGAGCTTTCCCTCTGCTTGTGAAAAGAAACATTTTATGTTCTATTAGAGAAAAGAGGCTTTTCCAAAAGTGCAAAATCATAGTCCACATTTTATCCACACAAAAGTCTAACCTGAGGGGGCAGAATGGAAAAATTATGTGATTAGGGTCAGACCCAATTCTGACGCTAACTCCTTGGATGACCCTGGGCAAGAAACTTAATCTTTGCAAGGCTTCCCTGGCTCATCTTATGAAGCAGGGCTGCTATTCCTTGGCCATCCCACTTGGGTTGACATAACATTTAAACTCCCATCGAGGGGTTCCAATGAGATGACATTCCTGAAAGTGCTTCGTGACTGCCACGTGCTATGCAAAGTCAGCAACTCCATTGCATAGTGGCGTCTGGATCAGAGGGCACCTTATCCTTGCAGAACCCCACTCTGCTGTGTACCTATCAGGTGGCCCTTTGTCCTTTGCATTCCCTCCCTCACTCACATGGCGAGGCCCTGGAGAACCCCTATAAACTTTAGGAGCAAAAGCAGAGTCCACTCACCTCCCCCCCAGTCGAAAGCATGGACTGCCTTGCTCCATCCACGTGCCCATTCTGGTGCTCAGGCTGCAAGTGTCAGCTTCACCAGGTCCTAGAACAGTGGAAGTAAGGCCACTCTTCTGCTGGGGTTCTGACACTGGGCCTGTGGTTCCAGAGCTCCAGGACAGGTTTTAGGGGCTTGATAAACCTCTTGAAGTGGCTCGCAAAATTAGATACATGTTTTTTGGAGAAAATATCCATAACTCTCATCAGATTTTCAGAAGGGCCCTTGGCCCAAAAATGTCCCCAAATTCACTGCCCTAAGATAGTGTTTTAAAATTATTGCAGTGACATGGATCAGGTTGCCTCATAGCTAGGTAGGAGAAGCATGGATAGAATTAAAGTCTTATGTATTATTTTTAGTTGATAGGTTGCCACTTTATGAAAAAGATTCTCAGATCCTTCATTTGGGGGGAACCCCATGAAGGGGTTCCAATGAGACATTAATGAAAATGCTCCACGAATTGCCAAGCACTACACAAAGTTTTATCATACTTACCCTGCCTTCGACTTTTCTCACTCTTATCTCTACATCCTCCATTGTTCCACCATTTATATTCTTTTCTATAATCAGAATAACATATTTTGTGCTTGTGCATAGAATGACTAGAAAAATTGAAAATCAATATATAACATATATTATGGTGATGCACATAATCATATATAATTTTTAATATATACATACACATATAAACATAATATATACATAAACATATAAATAGAATATATGCATAACATAAATATAATATATATGTACATATATAAACATATATACCCTTTTATAATTTTTGTAGCTTTCTTAACTGTTTTCTCTGTTTCTTGATTTCCATTTTTTTCTACTGTCCATGTTAATATTAATGTTTTGTACTACTAGAATGTATTCTCTAGTGTCATCTGATCCTGAATAAGGCAAGGCTTTTATTTGTGCGATACTGTGATTTATAAGAAATATATATATTTGGTCATTCAGATGACCAAAACATTTCTCATATATATGCAGTCTTCATCCACAGTTCCTGACTCACAGCTCCCAAAACCCTTGGAATTTTAACCCACCCCAGGGTGGGGGCTGGTTGCCAGGAGAACCAACCAAGTGATTAGAAGGTTGGAACTTTCCGCTCCACCCCCTGATTTCCTGGGAGGGGAGAGGACCTGAGGTTGAATCAATTGCCATTGGTCATGATTTAGTCAATCATGACTATGTACTAAAGCCTTCATAAAAACCCAAAGGACAGCTCTTTGGCCCTTTGTCAGAGAGCTTCCATGTGCCACCATCCAGGCCCTGCACCCCACAAAGACAGAAGCTCCTTTCTTTAGGACCTTACCCTATGCATCTCTTCATCTGGCTGTTGATTCATATCCTTTGATATCCTTTTATAATAAGTTGGTAATCTACCGAGTAAACGGGTTTCCCTGAGTTCTGTGAGCCATTCTAGCAAATTAATCAGACCTGAGGAGGGGGTCATGGGAACTCTGACTTACAGTCGGTCAGCCAGAAGTACCGGTAACCTGGACTTGCGGTTGGTGTCCTGAGTTGGAGGGGGTCATTGACACCTCCAGTCTGTAGTTCGTTGGTCAACCTGGGCTTGTGACTGGCACCTGAAGCGGAGGGAAGTCTTGTGGGACTGAACCCTTTACCTGTGGAATCTGATTCTGTCTCCAGGTAGATAGTATTAGAATTGGGTTGAATTCTCGGACACCCGCTGCTGGCCTCAGAGAATTGTTTGCTGCTGTGGGGAAGCCTCCACACACACAGGTTAGAATTGGGTCCAAGAACCCTTTGCAATTTATTTGTTTTTGTCCAAAACAATCCCTCAGGAGAGAGGGAGGGAGTTGTCCAATATTTGAGCCCTGACAGTTCTTCCATATCACAGAACGCTTTCTCAAATATTTTGCTGAACGCTATAGTTTAAGCAACTGATCTACTTTTATGTACATGGTACACGTAGTTTGGAGATCTCCTTTTATTCAAGAGTATAAAGAAGGTTTTCAGCAAGAGTGAATGAGTAATATATTTTCTAAGTTCCTACATGTCCTCACATTGCATTAAGAGTTTGGTTGTGGGAATAGAATGCTAGACAATTATTCCTTTTTTTCTTATAATTTTGAAGGCATTGCTTCATTGTCATCTAGCACACAGTGCTGATGGTGGAAATCCTGTTGTTTGTCTCTCACTCCTTTGTAGGTAACAGAGTAGTCATGGGTCCCACCCACCGAGTATTTCCGGTGTTTGTCCTGTGGTAAGGTTGCCCTTCTTGGCCTCCTTGAATTTGAATGGGATCATGTGACTAATTCTTGCCACTGAGTTGTGAGTGGAGAGATGTGTGTCAGTCCCAAGCCAGAGCATTTATTTTGGAACTCACCTCTGGAACTCACCCTCCCCCTGACCCCTGGCCATGGCAAATGACAGTGTTCATGTAAAGGAACCATCAACCTAGGTCCCAGAGTGAAGATGGTGATGACCCAGGAGCACAGCCTCTGCATATCTGTTGTATATTCCAGAGATGCTCAACGTCTCTTGTGCTTCTTTCCCAGCTCCCCAAACCCTCACTACAAAGCTCTGGGCACAAATCACATGCTTACTTGGGAGTATAATATTCTGGCTTTAGCTTAAGGACAAAAGTTTTCATTGCCAGCCACTTGACGGTGGGAGTGGGACAGGGATGCTCTTTAAAGGATTAACCTGGCAACTGGCCCACGCTGCCCTTTGAATTTAGTGATTTTGAACTTGGTGATTTCTGGGATTCCTGAGGATGTCCCTTGCTTACTTCTGGTATCCTGGGCTGTGGTTTCCTCTGCTCGTTCTCTGTCTATTCTGATCACATATGTTTTCAGTATTCTAGGAATTCTTCAACATTTTTGACTGACAGATGGTTCCCAGCATTGTTCTGCTTTTATTAAAAAACAAAACAAAACAAAACAAAAACCTTGTACTGTCATTTCAAAGGGATCTTTGGAGGAAAGGGGAAGTAGATTTCTGTGCTCAGTCTGCCATTTATAATTGGAAGGTAAATGTCCACTTTTTTAAACAAGGCTTTTTCTTAAGAAAAAAGTCACACTGACTCTGAGTTGCATAAGTAAAAGGGCAATATATGAGAGCCTTAAGAATATAAGCCATCTCCTTCTGGGACCTTAATAAACAATTGTACTTAAATTTTAGAAGCACAACTTAGAAGGACATGGAAAGGTTAAAGAAGCCTAAAAGGATGTAATAAAGATAATTCAAGGCTTGGGTGATAGGGTATTAGAGGAGAAGTAAGTGGAATTAGGACGATTTATTTTACCCAAATAAAATTTCAGTGTCCTAATATAGCAATGCATAAAGTGCTAATGCACAGATCAAATTTTCTGTACCTCTACTAAGGCCAAAGTAAGTAGAAACTGACTTTAACAACACAAAAAGAGCTTTAGGTGAAAAATACAAAAAGAGCTTTCTCCATGTAGCAGGAGCAGTGGAAGACCTAAGGAAGGTACAAGAGCCAATTCTCCAATCCTTAGAAAACATTTGTGAGGTATGGTTCATTTTGCAGATCTGTCTGAAGATAGGAGCCTGCATTAGACTCTGTCCCTATGGCACCATGGTTGTCTGTGAGATGAAATTGTGGTGAGTTTTTGGCATATGGAAATAGATCATGGGACTGTTGATAAAAGCTGTAAGCAAGCATGTCTTTCATCATCCTTGTGACATGACGTAATTCATGAGAAGCTCGAAATAGTATTGTGTTGTGTTGGAGTATTTTTGCCAACTGTTAAAAAGCTCATATTTAACTTTTCCATTATGAACTTGAGCCTTCTTTGGAAGTTGTCTTTTTCCCATAAAGTCTTCCCAGATAATGTTTTCCCAGCAAAATTTGACCGGACAGCCTGACACATACCCTTGCTAGTAATAAACCCAAAGCTGCTTATTGTCCTTTATTTAATTATCTCTAGTGGTACAGTTTTTTTTCCCCTTATTCATTATTTTGATAGACTTGCCAACACAGAAAAGCAGAAGAAAAAAATGGTTTTTAGTAAGGACTATTTACTTTGGCCAGATAAGATTTCAGATTGTCCTAATATAGTAAGGTTTCAAGTGCATGAAGTGCTAATGTGCAGATTAGATTTTCTGTATCTCCACTATGGCCAAAATAAGTAGAAACTGACTTTGCAGGAAAAGAAAAAAAGATGGAGGTAAAAAAATCAAAAAGACTTTCTGAATGTTAGGGTTTTTAACTTTGGCAATGAAATATCCAAGAAAGAGACAGAAACTAGTTCTCCGATTCTTAAAAAAGTTGTGAGGGATGGTCTAGTCATAAAACCTGTCAGTATTTCAATGATAGAGATTGTTTTCAAATTTCTATGTGTCAGGGAGTCCTGGTTCTGTCTTTGTAACCCTGGGACTGTCATGAGGGTCTTGCAAATTAGAAGTAAGTCCCAGAGTTAACTCGCTGATTTAGAGGGGTTCAAAGTTTGCTTGGGAGGTCGCAGATTTGCCTTCTTTGGCTAGGTATAGGAAAGCACTTCAGTTTTATCTAAGTGCCCACGACTTGGGTTTATCCAGAGGCATAGAAACCAAAAGGTCACAAGACTTCATTCATTCACTCATTCATTTATTCTCCTATTCAGTTAAGCATTAATCAAATGGATAACACTGAGTTGGAGTTGAGAGCAAAAGAATGCAAGATACAGATATTCACGGTTGTCACAAGGGCACAGTAGTGACACCAAGATACCACAAGACACAAAGAACAAAGGTCATTTAATGCCAGGAAAAGACATGAGAGTTTCACTATCTTAAGACAGCCACTGACTGCCAGCGAAACCAGTTGATAAAGTAAGGATCCTTTGGGGTCCTTCAAAAAGCTCTCTTTGCCATTTTCAAGATTTAACCGCTAGCCCCATGCCACTGTTCTGGAGTCTGGCTCTAGGACTGTCAGACCACTAGGTGCAAGTAACTGATAAGCAATTTAGCACCTTGCCAAACAGGGTCTGCTGTGTGGGTCACCAGTATCAGCCTGCTTTAGGGGCTTGTTGAAAATGCAGAATCTTGGGCCTTTTCCCAAACCTACTGAGTCAGGTAGTTTAACAAGATCCTCAGGAGATTCACTTGCACAAGGCAGTTTGAGAGGCATTGCCCCAATACATTTCTAAATAGCTACAGGGAAAATGAGTGAACTTAAGATAAATTACCTGGGGTCAGTTCCCTACCTCCACTCCCTCCCCAGCGGGACTAGCCTCTCAAGTCCGCTGGATGTTCCTTGTACTTGAGGAGTGTACGATCTTTTTTTTTTTCTTTTTTTCTTAAATAGCCCTTTCTTCTCCAGGATGAACTGCTCTCATCCCTTGATCATTCAGAAAATATTCACCAAGTTCCTACTAAGTGTCAGGCCCTGTGATGGGTCCTGGGTGAACAAGAGTGGACACGAAAAGCACAGTCTTTGCTCTCAGAGATGAGCTTCTATTTTAGTCGCAAAGACAGACATTAAAGAAGTAGATGGCTAGGCAGTGAGATTTAGCAATTACTATAATCTCTGTTTTTCAGATGAAGAAACTGAGACTTGGCCTAAGTAAATTGTTCCAGGTCA